GAGCAGAAGCAGCTAAAGGAAAGTGGCTTGGCAAACAACGGTGCAGTTCTTAATGGAGCGCAGCACAGAATGGTTATCAGGCCTCATGAGCACAGTCACAGCATCCGAAGGGAAGGTAGGAAACATTCACAGTGAACGTTGTTGAAAATATGCATCAAAGACAACTTTGGATAGGGCTAACTATCCAAAACATTGGCCTCTAAATAAAGAGTATTGCAACTAATTATGGTGTGTTGCAAACTATTCTAGAATACAACTTGCTAATAAAAATGTGTAAAGTTCTTTGTTTTGGTATTTTGTGTTTGGGTGAATTTCGCAAGAAGAAAAAGAGAGTTAGGATCAGAATGTTTTATTTCATAATGAAAATTGTATGTTTTATTTTTATTTTTTTGGAAGAGAGCCAGAATCCAAAGTACTGAGTTAATTTAGGGCAAAATAATAATGATACCAACTACTGGTTTTGTGCGCAATGTGTCAGGTGCTGAACTTGGCACTGTCTGTATACTAGTTTGTTACTCACATAATCACCATTAGAGAGAACACATTATCCCACTAGTCAATTAAAAACTTGGGGTCAGAGGCGTTAACTCATCCCAAGTCATATTGCTAATAAGTGAAAGAGTACTGTGCTTTGTCATCAGTCGTGGCCGACTCTTTTCAACCCTTTGGGTTGTAGCCCACAGAGCTCCTCTGTCCATGGGATGTTCCAGGTGAGAATACTGGAATGGGTTGCCATTTCTTCTCCAGGAGATATTCCTGACCCAGGAATCGAACCCACATCTCCTGTGTCTCCGGCACTACAGGGGGATTCTTTACCCACGGAGCCATCGGGTTAGCTCAGTATATGATACAGCCTGTATTCAAATCCTCACTTCTTGCCATCACTGTGAGAACCCAAAAGGAATGCAATGAGAAGGCAGGATGATGATGTGAACATGACAGGACAAATGAGGGAACAGAAATGAGAGCCATTAAAGAAAGTCAGAAGAGAGTAGAACAGAAAAGGTAAGAAAAGGAGACCAGGCGTTAGAAAGGAGCCGAAATTCTTTAGACGAGCCCTTTTGAGTGTAATGTCTTCAATAACTGTAATCATTCTGTACCATCGTGGCTGACACTCTTTTGAGTGCTGTGGAACATCTTACAGGACAAGCCCACTTCCCGCCTCGTGTACCTCCAGAGGGCTATTTCAAAGCAGAGATTATATAAGAAATCTACCACATAGCCTGGCAACTTCCAGAAGCTGGAATGAAATCAAACTGGATTGATTTAAATTTAAATGTGTCCTCAATGTTTGTGCCCTGACTTTACATTGGCTTTGCAGAAAAGACTAATTTTAATTCACTAGAAAGCAGATGGGATCTGTCATAGGGTGGTAAAACACAAGAAACTCATCCAAATGTAAGAGAAAGCAACAGCTTTTCTCTTGGAGGTCAGTTTCATAGTACAAGTGTTTGTCACTGGGTCCACGCAGGCTGGTTTTCATCAAAATAGCGCAAGTCATATCTAGTATTATTGAGCAATTATCACATGCTGTTTTGCATGTATTTAATGTTGAGGAAGAGCCTAGGAAGTTGCCACTATTATGACTAGCCACCCATTTTAAAGATGAGAAAACTGAGGCTCAAAAGTTAAACAACTTAAGGTCACCTGGCTAGTAAGTTGCAGAACTGGGATTTTAACCCTATGCCCTGGATCATAACCCAGGAGTGAGGAGTGATTGTGAATGTGTAACCCAAGAACTCTACATTTTTTAACATTTATACTCCAGAAAAGAAAGGGAGTGAGGGAAGAAGAAAGGAAAGAGAATTACCTCAAATATTGCGTGTTCAGTCATGTCTGACTCTTTGTGACCCCATGGGCTACATGTAGCACACCAGGCTCCTCCGTCCATGGGATTTCCTAGGCAAGAATACTGGAGTGAGTTGACATTTCCTCTTCCAGTGGATCTTCCCCACCCAGGGATCAAATCCATGTCTCATGTGTCTTCTGCACTGGTAGGCAGATTGTTTACCACTGAGCTACCTGGGAAGCCCCACCTCAAATAGTACCTGCTCTTGAAAGACATGTGGTTTGTATGATCGGAAGCAGCAAGTGTGGCCTGAGCCCCCTGTGGCCAGGAAAGAAATCTGTCACAAAGGGTTGGAGGAGAAGAGATGGGGCAAAAAGAAACGAGAATAAAAACTTAAAAAAAAAAAAAAGATGGGGGAGTTGGGGGTGACTCAAGAGGGAGTTGATATATGTATAATTATGGCTGGTTTGTGTTGTATGGCAGAAACCGACACAACATTGTATGTAGAATGCATGTAGAATGAAAAGGGAAGAAGTTCTTATAAATTTTTTAGGATCAAGTATGAAAATAAGCTAGTTAAGTTTAAATTAAGGTTGTTTCTCTAATTTGCCATTTTTATTCCTAATTTCATGGGCTAAAGTGACCCATTCAACTCAACCTTTGGAACTAATACTGTTTGTTCTGACAGTTTCTCTCCATCCTGAGTAATGCTAATTTCCACTCTGCAAGTTTACTGTCTCAGTGAAAGGCGGTGTTGCTTGGTCTTTTTTTTTTTTTCCTCTTGAAATTTAATTATGTCAACATTAAACACAGTCATGAAACCATAGACTGGGCCGTTTCTTGAAGGCTCATGGTTTGGACCTTTTCCACAAAAAATCCCACTTCTATAATTATATTTAGTGTTCTAACTACCTGACTAACTGGCTTGCTATGAGCCATGTGTCAGGGCAACTCTGGGTTTTGTTTGCAGTCAAATTTGTCTGCTTGGAACCCCTGTGCCAAGAGTGTGCAGTCCTAAATGGAGTTGAGCCTCTGGTTTTCTTCTCCAGAAATTTCACTGGGGTTAGCATCGCCCATCCGATGCTGTATTGTCCTGCAATTCTCAAACTGTTTACTTAATGTTTAAAACATCGCTTAACTTGTCCACACCCTTAACTCTGAAAGTAATAGTATCAGCTGTGTTTATGGTATGGACCTATCTTAATGACTGTGTGTGTATAGATATGACTGAATTTCTTTTTAAGTCCTTACACAAAACTTTTTTTGTGTTGGTGCAGCTGTTTAACTTTTAAGAAACCACATGCATTTTATCCTCTAAAAACTTTAATTTGAAAGATATAGGACTTAAAAGTGCAGTATTCCTGAAACTGGTATCTATTAGCCTCCCTACTTCTGTCTCTTTAAACTCTTATTTAAGAATTGAATAAAGTTCCTGAATTGAAATATTACATATTACTTTTCAGATCAAAAATACTTGTTATTGCTGAATTCCTAGTAGTCTTTGAAAGGTCAACTTATAAGGGAAGCAGTGGCATTCGTAATAGAAACCAAAGGTAACAGTAGCTCAGTTCTCATGATTTCTTCAAACTCAGTGAATTTTCCATGGACACAGAGGCAGATGCCGGAAGAAAACAGTTGTGTGTTTTCCTGGGTTCACTGTAGCCCAACAAGTCATGGTAAATATTAGTTTGCTTCTTTCTTATGCTATAGCAATGATTCCACTTCCTGTTACATAGGAAAGCCTGGTGTTAAAAGAAATCACTAGATATATTTGTTACACAAAGACCATTTCATCCATGGAAATAATTTTTTATTGTTCTGAGTCACTCTATGGTTTGTGGAATTTTTACATGAGTTCCAGGACAAAGATGAGTGATATATTTATTTTATTTTGTATTTTCTTTAATTTTTTTTTTTGACTGCATGAATGTCAGGCTTTCTGTCAAAGTATGTCCATGTTTTTATTACTTTAGAAGTTACTCTGCTGTATTTATGTGTCCTAAACTCTTCATTGACGATTCACAATGTGTACTGGGCATGCTGTATTTTGGGAGAACTTTTGCTTTTCCCAGTGTCACATGATCTCTTGTTTTCCCCTTGGTCCCTATTCATGTCCTCTTAATGTATGTCTTTACCATGTTAAAAGTTATACAGACTTCAGAAATATTTAAATTGTTTTGTTGAACTGTTGGAAGGACTTAAATTGTGAGCTTCAAAGGGCATTTGTTATGCCTTATATTTTACTCTTGTATTAAAGTAAACCTTACTATAAGTGCTCCCTAGTCCAGCCCGGAATATCTCTGTGCTTTAGACTGATCCCTGAAGTCATAGGAAGTCTCTGAAGTTCATTTTCTGATATTCTTTGGTTTGATTACAATTATTGTATTTATTAATCACCTATAGAGACCTAGGTTAAAATTTAAATAACAGTTCAGATTTACAGAGAAGCCTTAGATGTTCTGATATTTTAGCAAATATTTGAATAGAAAACAGGAACAGTCCAGTGGGCTGAGATTTCAAGTTATTGGTTATTGTCATTGATATTCCTTCCACATATTATTCTGTGTGTGCAATTCTTCCTGACTGACTTAAGATTTAAAATTAAATCTTGTATTTTTCTGGCAAGTGTAGCTGGGTTAAGTATTCTGTCTCCCACATTTTTCAACTCCTGTACCCTAAGTAGTCACACTTACAACAATGTCCTCTAAGCAATCAATTCCAATAGACAAAAAAGAGAGAGATCCTAATATTGACTTGATTTTAGACTAGAAGGGGACGAAATAGATAGTTTCTAACAGATAATTTCTTCTCTTGCAAATGATCATGGCTGGTTCAACATATACAACACTTACATACTCAAGAGCTTCCCTGGTGGCTCAGATGGTAAGGTGTCTAGCTGCAATGTGGGAGACCCGGGTTTGATCCCTGGGTCAGGGAGATCCCCGGAGAAGAAAATGGCAACCCACTCCAGTACTCTGCCTGGAAAATTCCATGGATGGAGGAGCCTGGTAGGCTACAGTCCATGGGGTCGCAAAGAGTCGGACACGACTGAACAACTTCACTTTCACTTTATATATTCATGAGAATATGCTTGTGTGTATGTCTTTGTGTGCATGTGGGAGCATAATTCAGTGATCTGAAGTTTTAGATGACTGGTTTTCTTATTAGAAAATGGTAAGAATATTAATCTGAATCATTTTATTTTCAACAGGTTGACATGATGAAAGAAGCACTAGAAAAACTTCAGCTCAACATAGTAGAGATGAAAGATGAAAATGCAACTTTAGATGGTGGAGATGTCTTATTCACAGGTAGAGTTGTATTTACTTTTTCCTATTTAAAAATATTTCTAATACCTTTTCTATATCCCCTTGCTTAATTATATGTTTTTATTAATTACCAAAGTAAAAGTAATTTGGAAAATACAGAGAAGCACAAAAGAAAGAAAACAAAAAATGACCTTTCATTCAAAGATAATCATTTCAATATCTAGGTTATTGAATACTTTTTTATTGAATATTAAAGTACCTTTAGTACTTTTGTATGCACATAGTTGCTTATTTTACATGTTATCAGTGTATATATATCATTTTATAGGTTGTGTCTACCATGTTCTTCCATAACTTTAGTTTAAGAGTTGCATAGTTTTGCATTGTGTGACAGTATAGCCAGTCTGTATTTGAAAGATTCTTAATTCAAGGTCTGTCATTTAAAAATAATTTTCTTGCCAGATGGCAAGATAAATTTAAATAATTTTCAGTATAAATTGGCTTGACTTAATGCCAGATGAATAATAGCAGAACTCAACAAAATATAAATAGCTGATATTATTGATCTAACTGGAATCAGATTTTATGGGTATAACATAGCTACTACAGAAATGGTAATTTTAGCATTTAACTTTTCCAGCTCTTTATGATCATATTATTATTGTTTTTGTAAAAGTCATGTGCTAAAATCTGAGTCCCCAGAGTCATGCTAGCTATATTGATCAACAAGACATCAATAATAATTTTTCATTGATAATGAGAGTTTGTTTTCCCCTACTTTTCAAAGAATAAATATCTGTTTCACAGATGCAGCCCTAACAGCAGAGGCTGGTCCCCAGAGATCTGGGGATGTGGTCCCATGTGGCCCCCTGGAAGCCTGGAGATTCTTGGAAGTCTAAAATTTTAGCTGATGTGAATTTTATATCAAGTCCCATGTGTATAGAAAACACTATAGTCATTTTCATTTTAATATAACAATAATGTTTCCTATAACTTACATTTTGATGTAGTTAATGTTCCTGGAGGAGGAGGAGTTTTCACCAGAAGCCTTGCGCAGTTCCCTGCTTGGTGTCGCATACCTGCGGGTGGGGCCCCTGTCACTGAGCCCAGGGGGTGCATTTTTCTCACAGGTTTGTGAAGAGCCCTCCCCAGAAGTTGTGGCCTGCACGACCTGTGCTACCACTGTCAGAGGCAATGGGCCCTGTCTCCAGGGTTTGTTGGGCATACTCATTGAGCCCTAAGAACACAGAGCAAGGGGTCAGAGAGGCCTACGCTGCATTCTCAGCTCCAGTTGTATCCAAGCCGACTCAGGCATTCTTTGAATCTGCCTAGTAAGTTCCACTTAGAATATTCTTTGTGTCTCCCATTGATGGCACTTTTCATTCTTTTTAGCAGCACAGAACAACAGCCCATTTCTCTTAGAAAACGGGCTTTTGTGATAAGCTAGATGTGTAAATCACACTTCGTTACAATAAAACTCTTTTTTACCAGAACATAGCCATAGAATAAATAACTTGTTGTAAGCAGGTACAGATACTATTTGAAGAATGATTTAAAACAAGCTGTGTTCACAGCCATTTAGTTACCTCAGCAGCTGAGCTGAACAGATTCCCTAAAATCTTCTCATTGTTACAACAAGGCTTAGGAGCCTCTTCCACTTGTCAAAGCATCTCAAGCCTGTTGTTTTTCCCATAACTTCTAATTAAGTCCTGAGCAATGAGGCTTGCCTTGGACACTATCTGTAAGCTTTGTTTTGATAATATTCAGTGCTTAATATCTTAAAAGTTATGTTATTGAAAACAGAGCTAGTGTTGTAATATTAAGATCTTTATCTGCTTGGCCTCTCATTCATACCTAATGTGTGGTCCTACCTTCTATTCCTACCTCTCAACTTTTTTGCTTCCTTAAAATTGTAGTAAAATATATTTAACCTAAAATGTGCTATTCTGACCATTTTTCAGTGTATAATTCAAGTGGCATTAATTACATTCACAACATTGTAGAACCATCACCACTCAGTTTTTCGATTGTGCAGAGCTGATTAAGAGACAAAATCTGGAGCACTTCCCATGTGCTCTGTGTCCCCTTCCTTCTGTGACTCAGAGCTTCGTTAATAATTGATCAGGAAATGGACAGAAGGAAAGCAACTTCCAACTCTAGTTCCACTGGGAAATCTGTCAGGCAAGCAGCTACCAGTAGAAAGTGTTTCAATCCTTTTTCTCTTAGACAACATCAACTTACCTCTACTTTCATTTAATTATTTTTGTGAAATATGGGGCATATGAAGAAAACTTATAAAATGTTTGTGTCCTGTTTAAGGACCAATGATATAGTGAACACCTGAGTACCTAACACCTGGCTTATGAAACAAGACATTGCCAGCATCATAGAAGCCCCAGTCCCAAACCTTCTCTCCTCCCAGCTTGAGGTGTACCCTGTCCTGAATTTTGTGTTAATCACTGCCTTGTCTTTGTTTAATCTTGCCCCAATATGTGCACTCCTAAATTATATGTTGTTTAGTTTTGCTTTTCTTATGACTTTATATAATTAAGGTGATATTATATGAACTCTTATGTGGTTTTTCTGCCTTTGATCTAACTTGATCCATGTAGCTGGAGTTCATTTTCACAGCTGCGTAGAATTTCACAGTAAAAATGCACCATGGTGTATTTATTCATTTTACTGCTGATATATATTTGAGTACTTTTCAGTTTTTCTCTACTCTCTTCAATGCTGCTATGTACAGTCTTGTTGTATCTCCTGAGTACATATATAAGTTTCTTTAAAGTAAAGAGCTAGAAATAGAATTTCAGGTGATAAACTCTCATCCTACTTCAATGATTATATGATTTTCTTCTTTAATCTATTTATGTGGTTAATTATATCAACTGATTTCCTGATATCAATGATCAAAGTTTATATCTCTGGGATGAAATCAAACTTAATCAAGATATATCCTCTTTTTATTACAGTGTTGTATTTAACTTTTTTAGGGCTCCTCTATTAGCTCAGTTAACAAAGAATCCACCTGCAATGCAGGAGACCCCAGTTCAGTTCCTGGGTCGGGAAGATCCCCTGGAGAAGGGAAAGGCTACTCACTCTAGTATTCTTGCCCGGAGAATTCCATAGACTGTATAGTCCGTGGGGTCACAAAGAGTCACATGACTGAGCAACTTTCATTTCACTTCACTGTATTTAGTTTCCTGATCATTGTTTAAGATTTGTGTCTGTGGCCTACAACTTTTCTTTCTTGTTATCCTTGTCTGGCTTTGGTTGAAATTATGTTAACCTCATATAAAATGTATTCGAGAATATTTTCCTGTGTTTCTATCCTCTACAATCAGTAAAACTTTAATTGTGCATTACTTGAACTCTGGTAGAATTTACCTATTCAGGCCCTGTGGGCCTTGTGATTTCTTTGTGGGAAGATTTTCAACTGATTTTGTTTTTGTAATAATTATGTGACTACTGAGATTTTTTTTCTGAGCCAGTTTTGCTGAGTTCTGTTTTCTGAGATTTTATTTATTTCATCTAAGTTTTTTAAATGTTGGGTATAAAGTTATTCATATTTTCTTAATATCTGTTTTAAGTTCTGCAACAATTACAGCTATGTCTCCTTTCATTCATAATGTTTATTTGGACCTTCATTTTCTTGCCAGAGATCTGTCAATTTCATTAACCTTTTGGAAGAACTAACTTTTGACTTTTTGAACCCTCTCTCTTGTATGTTTCCTTTTATCTTTTATTTCCTTCTTTCAAATTTCTTTGTTTTTATTGTTCTTTTTTCCTTTCATTGTAAAGTGAAATCTTGTCTCTTTATTTTGAAACTTTCCTCTTCTTAATGTAAGCATTTAGGTACTACCTTCTAAGTAGTGCTTTAGCTGAATCCTTTGTGTTTTGATATGAATATTTGTGTTATTAACTCAAAATGTTTTCCCATTTCCATTATGATTTATTCTTTGGCTTATTAGTGGATAATGACTTTTTTAAAAAAAACATATTGATCATTATTATAAGTTGCTGGGATAACAATTCATTACTGTGATAACTAACAAATATAAAGCATTTAGCCTATCTTTTCTTTGTGAACTCTGCTTCAAATAGACCAATACTTGATTGAGAAAAGTTTTTTTGAATTCCACCCAGTAAATGTAGATTCTTAATAAAACAAAGGACCTGCGCAATGATCATCAAAGCATGTAAAACTTATATGAGGGACTTTCCCGGTGGTCCAGTGGTTAGGACTCCAAGCTCCCAATGCAGAGGGTATGGATTTGATCCCTGGTCGGAAAACTAAGTTCCCACAAGCATCAAGACAGGGGAAAAAACAGATAAAAGAATGAAACAACAACAACACCTTTACGTGACAGCTTGATGGGACCTTCATGATGGAGGAATCGGGCTGATACTACGTGAACACTCTTACGACTCTAGTATCACTGAAAATGAGACAGTCAGGATATGATGTGCTTCGGGATGTGATACAATAGATGTGTACCCCCACCTCTGATACTTTTGAACTGTGGTGTTGGAGAAGACTCTTGAGAGTCCCTTGAACTGCAAGGAGATCAAACCAGTCCATCCTAAAGGAAAGCACATCCTTTAGCACAATCCTAAAGCACATCATATCCTGACTGTCCCATTTTCAGTGATACTAGAGTCGTAAGTGTTCATGTAGTATCAGCCCGATTACTCCACCATAAAGCTCCCCATCAAGCTTTCACATAAAGGTGTTGCTGTTGTTATTGTTGTTTCTTTCCTTCATCTGTTTTCTCCCCCTGCCTTGATGCTTGTGGGAACTTAGTTTTCCAACGAGGGATCAGTCCTGAATATTCATTGGAGGGACTGATGCTGAAGCTGAAACTCCAATACTTTGGCCACCTAATGCAAATAACTGTCTCATTGGAAAAGACCCTGATGCAGGGAAAGATTGAGGGCAGGAGCAGGAGGGGACGACAGAGGATGAGATGATTGGATGGCATCACCGACTCGATAGACATGAGTTTGGCAAGCTCTGGGAGTTAGTGATGGACAGGGAAGCCTGGTGTGCTGCTGTCCATGGACTCACAAAGAGTCGGACACAGCTGAGCAACTGAACAGATAGCCCCACCACTGAAGTAGTTCTATCCAAAAAAAAAAAAAATTGAGCAAGAATCTAATCAAGTATCTACATGGACTATCAATTTGCCAACAATACAAAGGATAAAGGAACAATTTAATGTTAGTATGCAAGGAGGGGCTTCCCTGGTGGTTCAGACAGTAAAGAATCTGCCTGCCATGCAGGAGATGCAAAGAGGTTGGTTCAATCCCTGGGTTGGGAAGATCCTCTGGAGGAGGGCGTGGCAACCCACTCCAGTGTTCTTGCCTGGAGAATCCCATAGACAGAGGAGCCTGGTGGGCTATAGTCCATGGGGTCCAAAGAGAGGGACAAGGCTGAAGCAACTTTGCACATGCGCGCGCGCACACACACACACACACACACACACACACACACACACAAGGAAACAATCAACCAAATCCAAAATGTAGGAAAGTCAGTAGGATAAATGACCTGATTTCTTCTATGAAAGAATAAGGTGAGGAAGGAAAAGAAAAAGAGGGTGAGTGGTTATAGAAGAAAATGACATGAGACATAGAACAATCCAAATACTTTTTACTATTTTGATTCCAGAACTTTAGTTGTTTTTATCAGAAAGGCCATTTAAGGGGTATAGCCTGCCATACTGCTAGAAACAGAAGTCTGGCTTACTTTTTAAAGACATAAGCAGTTTGCTTTTCTTTGTACTTTTAAATGGAAAAAGTGTGTAAAGTGTTTATATTTGCATATAGTGTGTTTAAATTTCTGCAATGAAGTAATTTTTAAAAAAACTTTAAGTTGCTTCACTTCTTCTTTTAAGTAACTTTTGTTTGTTTGTTTGTTTTTTGGCTGTGTCATGCAGCATCAGGATCTTAGCTCCCCAACCAGCGATCAAACCCATGTTCCCTGCATTGGGAGCATGGAGTCTTAACCACTGAATTGCCAGGAAAGTCCCTAAGTGTTTTGTTTTGTTTTTTAAATTGTGTGTAAATCTAATTTATCAATCTACATTTATCATAAGAGAATTAAGGAAATTTGTCTTCTTTATTTCAACTGACTATTTTAATAAAGAGATTAATACTTTTCGTCAAGTAAAGGGCCTTTCCCTTACTTAAGTTTTGATTTGTATGTAGTGAGTTTTCTTAAGGGACAGCACAATCAGGCCATTACCCAAAACACTGTCAGTTTGCCACCAACGATTCTTGTGTCTGCCAACAGCATAAGCCATTGGCATTTATCGTAACATCATTTGACCTATGACTTTTACCCCTGTTATAAGGACACCATGAATATTAAAGTTGTAACAGGTGTGAAGTCTATCAAGCAATTCTTTCTACATGACTACACTGTTTATATTTGTTCTCGGGCGAAATATATACTGATTTCTCTTGGAATATATTTTCCATATTTCATGTAGAATTCTTTTCCAAAGAATTAAGGAAGGATAAGAACCCCTACATTTATGTATTGCCTAACTCTTTCTACTATCGTTGGTTTTTTGCCTATAACTGCTGCTGCTGCTGCTAAGTCGCTTCAGTCGTGTCTGACTCGTAGTGACCCCGTGGACTGCAGCCCACCAGGCTCCTCTGTCCATGGGATTTTCCAGGCAAGAGCACTGGAGTGGGGTGCCATTGCCTTCTCCGTTGCCTATAACTAGAAGAGCATTTTTACTTAATGCTTTGCTTTCTGAGAAAAAAATTGTAGAATTTCAGAAAAGCCAAATAACTAGAAAGTTTCTTTCTCTGAAACTTCAGTGCTTTGTAGATAGATGTATTTGGGGGTTAATTTGAAATAAATAGGTGTGTTGCTTTAAAGACAGCTCTTAGAGCTGAAGACCAGTCAGCACTAAACTCATTTTACTGAGATGGTTTCGTCAGCCCCTTACATCAACACTATGTTTAAAAAAAAAAAAAAAAAGGTATCTGACTCATCAAGACTGTATAGTATAGTTCTTTTGGGGGGAAAAAAGGAAGTTCTGCTAACTTATTGCTATTACTTAATTTCTGATTACAGGTTATTAATATGTTTAATTATGTTATTTTCTAAATAAAAACCATATTATTTTATTGTGGTAAAATATACATAGCATAAAATTTGCTGTTTAACTATTTTAAAATGTACAGTTCAGGGGTATTAACTGCATTCATGTTTTGCAACCATCACCATCACTCATCTCCAGCACTGTTTTGCCTTCCCAGAATGAAACATCACACCCATTAAACACTTACTCGCTAGCTCCTGCTCAGTCCCCTCCCCAACATCAGCCCATGACAACCACCATTCTATTGATACTTTCTGCCTCTATCAATTTGAAAGTTTATTTCTAATGACAATAGTTTGAAATCACTTATGTAAAGAGAGTAGGAGTCAGAGTAAAAGTGGAGCTACCTCTACGGTAGGAAAGAACTGTGTGATGCTTTAAAGTCTTTATTTATAGATAGAAAAATAGCATGCCATCACTGATGCTACCCACTCACTGTGTTCCATGACATTTATTATAGGCAGAGAATTTTTTGTGGGCCTTTCCAAAAGGACAAATCAACGAGGTGCGGAAATCTTGGCTGATACTTTTAAGGTAGGTAAAGGATAATTTATGCCCAGTACAGCGTAACTACCTGATAAATAGTCATAGACCTATTGAATCAATATGTCATGAATAATGATATTTTTGTGTCATGGGCTTTGCAAAATAGCTCCTAATATTTTTATGTTTGCTAGAAGTTTTAGAAGCTAGGACTTAATAAATAGGCTTCATGGGACTCCCACAGTGGCAACAGATAAAGTTATCATGGACTTTCTGCTTTCTCCCAGGGTATGATCAATCATACAACCACTTGGCGGATATTCCTGGCGTAATTGATGACTTAAAAAAATATATCTGGGGTCCCAGTTGTCTCTAAAATGAAATATGGAATTTTTCAGATCAGAATTAAAGATCACCCACACTTGGCCACCTACTGTGTGCTGGGCCTTGCACATACATCCTCCTAAGTTCCCTTTACTCTATTGATTTTGAGCAGATTGGCTCACCAGACTGCTAAGGAAGAGATGTAATCCCCAAGAAGCTGTTCCCCAGGACGATGTGAGGCTCTCATTTGCACAGGATATTCAGACACATCCCTCTAGAGTAGCCCCTCTGCAGGTCAGCCAGCCAAGCTGTTAAGGCAGTCACAGGTCAGGTAGGAGGCTCTGCACTTCCTTCTTAGAAGCAGTCTTCATTTAACTGGCAATACCCAAACCTATGGGCCCCAGTTTTCCTTCCAGATGTTCAGGGACCCCAGCAGCCTCCTGGGGAGCTAGAATGTTTTGAGCAGGTTTGAACGGGTTTTAGAGTTATTCTGCCGTGACAAACTACTTTCTCTCATATGCATAGGACTATGCAGTCTCCACGGTCCCCGTGGTGGATGCTTTGCACTTGAAGAGTTTCTGCAGCATGGCTGGGCCAAACCTAATCGCTATTGGATCCAGTGAATCTGCACAGAAGGCCCTCAAGGTAAATGTAAAGCTTTGCTCTTTTGAAATGCAATAGGCACTGCCTTCCACATGGTTCTTCTAATACTGTCTACTGGACAGACAGCAACCAAGGGTAGCAGGGCAAGAACAGGCTGGTGCTTGAGCTTTCTCTGATTTACACTGTCCTGACCTCACATTTATTAGGAACAAGGAGCACTTAGTACGTACTGTTACTCTGAGTAAGTACTTGTTCAGTTGCTAAGTCATGTCTGACTCTTTGCTGTCTGACTCTAAGCTGTAGCCCACCAGGCACCTCTGTCCATGGGAATTTCCAGGCAAGAATACTAGAGTGGATTGCCATGTCCTTCTCCAAGCAAGTACTTAGTAAGTACTTTTCCTGGAAAATACACCTATCAGAAGAATTCTTTACTAATGAACCCTTCTTCCTCACACACCAGGTTTCCTGGAAAGAAATAACTCATCACAGTTATTTCTTCTGAGGAAAAGGAGGGCATTCCACCAGCAGAGCTCTTTATAATGTTTTATCTCTTAACTCAGGTAATTGGTATACACAGAGTCGTTACATTATTCTTATCCTTTTGTTCTTCTGAACTATTTCATAATAATCTTTTAGAACCCCATGATTCAGAAGTACCTAAAAATTTTAACTTCTGCATTTGCAGTGGAATACTTACATTTTAGGAAAGTCATTTTTCTCATTTCACAGATAGGAATCGGAAAGTCCAGAAAAATTACCACTTGCTCTGGGTCACACAGCTAGATGGAGAGTAGATGTCATTGATAGTGAAGACTTTCTATCGTTACAGTGCTTTACAGTTCAAAGGCACCTTCCTTCTCTGTAGCTAATAACTCTGGGAGATGATCTGGACACTTCATAAAGGCAAAGACCTTGTCCATTTTGGTCACCATGTGCCCCTTTATGCTTGGCCCAAGGTGGTCCCTAAATAAGTATCTGGCGCACAATGAATAAATGAATGAGGGAAGTGACTTTATCTCCATTTTGCAGTTAAGAACTAGATTAAGTGGCTCATCCCAGATCGCAAAGCTAATACTAAAAGGTGGGCTGGGACTACTTTTTGCCCCTTCCTCTCAAGTGGTCCTGCATGGTATGTGACTTATTAAAGGACCAAGACAGGGATTTCCCTGACTGTCTAGTGGTTAAGACTCTGTGTTCCCAGTGCAGAGGGCACAAGTTTGATTCCTGTTCAGGAAACTAAGATGGGCTTCCCAGGTGACTCAGTGGTAAAAGAATCTGCCTCCCAATGCAGGAGCCACGGGAGATGAGGGTTCAACCCCTGGGTCAAGGAAGATCCCCTCTAGATGGAAATGGCAACCCATTCCAGTATTCTTGCTGGGATAATCCCATGGACTGAGGAGCCTGGCGGACTACATTCCATGGGGTTGCGAAGAACATGGTTGAAGAAATTTAGCACTCATACATGCAGAAAACTAAGATACTTCATGCAGCACAGATCGGCAAAAAAATGAAAGTAAAGGACCAAGACAGAAATTTCTCTTAGGCAAAGAGAGGAAATCTGTGTGCTCCAAGGTACACAGTTTATTTGTTTGCCCTATCTGGTCTTGTCTTCTACCTCAGGGCTGGGCTTGGTATGGTTTGTCTGGGAAGCAACCTCTGCCTCCCAGTTGCTGACTTTCTGCTTTGCATTATCTGCAACTTGTTTCAGTCAGCTCACTTGGCCTTTCTTTCTTCCCTTTCCCAGACTGTGTCTCTGATTATATTTCTAGGACCTTTAACAATTGTTGTTGAATAATCTACTTTGGATTGTGAATTTAGTGGCTTGTTCTGTGTTTCCTTTAGAGAATGTCTTTTGTTCTGTTTCATCTGGAGGCCTGTGTCAACTTTCTGCATATAAAAAAAGAAATGATGCCTTGAAAGAAAATATTTGATAATGATGTCATTCAGAAGATCTAGGAAGATTATTTCTCTCCTCAGGGACTAACTATGATGTCTTCCCATGGCAGCTGGGTTGGCCTACACGTGTCTGAAATTGATTACAAGGGAAGGAGAAGGCTGAAGTTGTCCATGCTGTGCCTTTGTGTAAACTAGCAGAAAGAACCTCCTCTGAGTAGAGAAACAAGAAAAAGTAGTCTCATCTGCCATTCTGGGTAAACTAGGTCCCTAACTCAAATAAATTGGTCTCTAACTCAGTAGGTCTCTAATGCAAATTGGTCCCTAACTTAGTTTGGAGAAACTAACATGTAATAAACTAAGAGATAACACAATATTGTTAACTAGCACTCAGTTATATGAAATAGCCTTAATTGTTATTCAGAAGAGAGGAAGAAACTCATTGAGGTCTAGATATTCAGGGAAAACTTTATGAAGAAAATGTGGCTTGATGTGGGTCTTGAAAGGTTTGTCAGAGTGGGATTCAGTGAGAGAGAGTTCCAGGTGGGCACAGGAAATATGCAAAGACTAGGCACAGTATATTCATGAGATATAACCAAACTAGCCCAACTAATAGTTTTCTTGTGGGTTCCAGGGGACACAGCTGGATGGGGCAGATGATGTCTATAGAGGTAGGGACATAAAAGTGAGCAAAAGAATGAGTTTATCTCCATGAAGTAGAAGTCTGGTTATCCATAGGCTCTGAGAAGAAGAGGCTGTATTGCTGCAAAGCTGTTGGATCATCCCTCCTTTTGCAAAAAGTTAAATGGAGGGGGAAGGCCCTGTGGTCAAAAAATGGCAACTGATGACCTGGATAAAGAAAGCCAAGCCTCAAGTTCCATTCTATGCTTTGGCCACTGACTCACATTTCCCCATTAAAATCATTTCTTTTCCATTGTCAAGTCCTCTAAGACCACCTTTTAAGAGCATCCCGTGAGGGTTTTTTAGTCCTCCTTCCTTTAGAGTTCATTTGAGTCAGTGTTAATAATGATGTTCACTCTATACTTGAAAACTTCTGTGTCAGAAACTATAAATAATTCTGACTAGAAAGACATTCTTTGGAGACTGAATTTTCCATCAGAAAATGTGCTTCATAAACCATGGGCCTGTGGAGTTAGCCAATGCCCACCTGCCATGTTCCTAGCATCAAAAAGGTCCTCTTCCCTGGTAGCCAAAGTAGGAGTACAAAGTAAACTGAAAACTAATGAGATCTCCATGAGGGTCAGAAATAAGTGGGCTGGTGAAATTCAGATTTAGTGAACTGAACTGGATATTTGAGAGCAGTTTAGGCACCTGTATTAAATCAATGAATAAAATTGATAGTGGGTAAGTCCTACTGCTGATTTGAACATATAAATCCTGATATAGACAGGCAGGAAGACAAATGGACAGAGACAAATACGTCATTTACAAGCAATGAAGTTGTGTTTTTTTTTCCACTTCACAAGTGAAAATACTGAGAACAGATGAAATAAGGCATTTTGAATAGGATCTCATGGTTTCAGAATCAGATTTCCTGGACCCAACTTCTGCTGGCCCCAGTCGCCCAGCCCTCTCCAGAACCATTCTTTTTATTGGAAAGCCTTTTCTAATTATTTTGCCATGGATTGGTTCTAGCTAAGCTCTCTCTTTCTCCTCTCTCTCCAACTATTCCCCTCTTCCATTTATTGCTGGTTATCAGTATCTGATCTGTATCAGGGGAGATGTGAGTTTGGTCCCAGATGTCTGTTTTTCCTGTGTAAATCTTGATGTCTCAGTCTTGTCTCCATAGAGAAGCCCCTGGCCACTCGGGCATCACTTTGAAGGGCGTAGCATTTAAACAGGAGTGAATTGTGCCTTTCTGTGCTACACACTCGAAACCTGATTGCTTCCCACATCTGTCACTGCTCTCTGAGTACTTGCTTCCTTCAGAGTCTTTAAAACTACTTCTTGCATATTCATGCAGAGCTGAGAGCCCAAGGGCTTCCCGGTAGTCTTACTGAATTTGAAACACTTTGTAATGGGTTGCAGTCCCTTCTTGGTTAATGAAGTGGGTTCTTATGGAGATAGTCACCATACCTGTCTAGGCTGTAGGAGATTTAATAGTGTATGCATTGTCTATTTAAATGAAATAATCCATCTGAGATGACTTTAGCAACTCTCTGCTAAAAAGCTCAGAATGTATTTAATGCAGGGTATATTTAAAACACTTTTAATATAGTTCATCTAATATAGGAAAGAAAGAAAGGAGGACCTATCATTACCATATTTTACTATTGATGTGGCCAAAGTACTGGCAATTAGGTTGATTTGACATTACTAAAGATATTAGATACCAGGTCTTACCCTAGAAACACTATTATCTAAGCAAAATTAGCCTTTAGCGCAATCTGCCCTTGCTACACTTTTTCTCCTACACTTTTCATCATTCCCTTCGTGCCCCTGGGCAATCACTACCTTCATCCTGCTCCTCCAGCTATAAAAGAAAATAATATAAGAGTAATTAATTTATGTTCAGGCAGTAGATCCACTAGTACTCTTCCAGGAGGAATGTTTGTCTTCTCAAAGATGATGAGAGCTCCAGTTGCTACACAGCTGGAGCTTCGAGTCACAAACGTAATTTGAGCAACAGAAGCCAACCTCCAGATAACACATATTGTCTTATCTCATTCATTTAAAGTTAAACAAGAGATAAGACTGGAGTGGGTAGCCATTCCCTTCTCCAGGGGATCTTTCCAACCCAGGGAATCAAATCTCCAACATTACAGGCAGATTCTTTACCTTCTGAGCCACCAGGGAAGCCCAGAGATCAAACCACTCTATGCTATTAGCAGTCAGGATAGTAGTTAATTCAAGAGGGAGGGAGTCATGGTGTGCAGGGCCGTCTTGTACGTTATACTTTAATTTTTAAAGATTAGTAAAAATACATATATTGTTGGAAGTGGGCTGTGACTAACTTACAGAAATAATTCTTCAGTAGCTGAGTCTAAGTCTCAAATCCTTGCTTTACCTTCCATGTGATATCTTTTAATAAGGAAAAAAAAGGCAAACTTTATATACCCCTTGACCAATATCTTGCCATTTCCCCTCGCCTGCCAGTCTCTGTAAACCTTAAATATATATATATGTAT